AATAATAATAATAATAATGACGGTCAGAATAATAGTATTAATTTTATTTGTTTTTAAGACACCTTTTTATTTTGTATGCTTACTCCATGTAACACTTTGTTCCGACTCCATCTCGTAATTCAAAATGTGTTTGTGCCTTTTTTTATTTTTGGGATAAAAAGAAGGAGAAAATATATATAAGATTTGCTATAATGCCTCAAGGCTATCCAGTATCCTCACTCTGTTTTCATGCTGTCCTCTCCTCCTCGACCTCATCCTCCGTTCATCAAGGGTAAAAAAAAAAACCTTAAAAAAATTAATCAATTAGCAGACGTCAATGAGAAACCTACTTTTTCTACTTGTGCCTTTCTGTGTCTGTCGTCCTGTCATCGGCCTCTGCCTGCTGTGGCAGCCGTGTTTGTCGTGTCGCCTGTCCGCAACGCGCGGTCAACGCCTTACTTGTGTTAATACGCATGCAGAGCACGCACAGCATTGGCCGACTGGGTCAGGGATATCTGCCCAGGGTATCGTCGCGAGTTTCACTCGGTGTTGGTAGTCGACTGCTGCGTTTGCTTGTTGCGTGAGGCTTCCTCCCACAGCGGCCGCGCGCTTTATTATAGCAGCTGAGAAGATAAGGGGAGCTGACACAGGAAGCACGCTGGGCCATAGCAGTCATTGGTGTGCCGACACTCTGTTCAGCCTGCTGGACCGACGGGTCGGATCACGTTTCTAACCTGGTGCTTTACGGGTTTGGCCCGCCAGTGCTGCAGAGTGTAAACACAGGCTGTCGACCAACCTGCGGCCGCTCGCCTGTTTTCAGCTCAACAAGCTGGTCAGGAACTTTAGAGCGACCGTTTCATGGACGAGATAAGGATCAGCACGTGCACTTCAGCTGCCAGCTGGTTAAAGAGATAGTGGGCGCTGGAGGCGGAAGCAGGCAGTTTAATCTGGCGCGGATCATGGTTAAGTAGAAGCAGCAGTAACGATAGTAAAACTCTACATGATCTCCTCCTGCTTGGCAACTAGACCAAGAGGCAGCGTTCACATGCCTTCCGTACAAAAAGCAACCTTGTTACAGCTGATTTGTCGGGTTTGCGAAGCTTTGAATTGTTTTGCTGTGCGCAGGCGTCGGTCCAACGCCGCGGACTACTTTCTGTCTTCGTGGACCAGTAGTGTCAAACATTGAATCTTCGGTGGGTTCTATACTGGTGTGGATGGATAAAACACTTTTTTATATGTCGACATATTTGCGGGAAGTGGGGCGAGCCTTTCAGCTGCGAGGTTCGTGGGTCTGTGCTTCACGAGAACAAACAACACGGCCAGGCAGTATAGGAAGGGTAACCAGACAGGTTCACTGGGCTGGATTAGGATCGGGAACAGTAGAAAGCGCGTGAGAGGTAGTTGCATCACAGTAATTCACAAGCCACCAGAAGGCAAAATCCGGCACGCAGGTCGGGGGGGGGCAATGGAGAGGCTGACAGGACCACGTTGACACCACAATTGAGGACGAACCGGACGAACCGGAGCGTGGGATGGAGGGGAGACGGTGAGGACAGGGGGGAGGGGAGCAGAGGATGGAATGGAGGTGAGGCCGTGGGGAGCGAGGCGGGGAGGGCAGGAGGAAGGAAATCGTAGAGAGCGGACGGAATGTGAAGAAGGACAGATGCTGTGGGATGTTCAAGTGTGTCCGCACGAGGCAAAGACGACATTCAGATCAGTGCGGCGGAGGAATAGCAACGGAGTAGGACGATTAAACCACGTGTGTGACAGGCTGGTTTACAGATCGTTTGCAGAGTGTTCGTGGTGGTGGTCGCTGGGTGTGTGAAGAAGATGTCGCTGAATCATGCATAAAGAAATAAGAGGTTGAGAGCTTGGACGGTTGGTAAAGCTGGTTAAGATGGCTGCTGTTTACAGGAGCAGATCAGCTGGAAGGCTTCAGTAAGACTCTGGGACGTGGTAACAGTCTGTAATACACGGTCTCACATGATTCATCCAACGGACAGCGCAGTGGACCTGCTCGAGAGTTGAGAGAGGACAGGAGGAACAGGGAAGGAACAGAGGAAGAGAGATAAGATGTGCTCGAGTGCGCCCCTCAGAGATGAAACACTAACGGTCTTCGTTTCCCGACAGGCAGCAGAGGAAAGGAAGCTGAAGGAAGCTCAGCTGAAACCAGGCTGCGGTTCAAGCACTGGGTCAGACTGGACGCCAAGGAACCAGGAAGCCACCACCTGAGGGCTGCAGGGGGCCAGGTTACAGGATAGGAGTGAAGAGGTGCAGCTTTGCCATGTTACTCGGTGGAACTCACTCTGCGGTCTTTCAATGTGACCAACCATCTGGGCAGCATGTGGTGTGAGGCTACCGGAGCCTGTAAACAGCACTTTAGAGAAAGCGTTTTTCAGAAGTGAAGATGAAATGAAAAAAACCGCTGAATAGAAGCGTGTACGTTCAGCGGTCGAGCTTGTTGTTGTGTGGTTGTTGGTTGGTTGATGTGACCTCACTGTCATACCTGCCTGGTTGACCAGGTGTATCTAGTGGCGAGGCGCATAACGACAGGTTGTGTCCACAGGAGATTGATTAGATGCCGTCAGGAACTGGAAGCGTGGTTTGGACGAGTGGACGAGCCGTCCTGACAGCCAAGAAGCGTGCTGCGATGTTAGGCAGCGTCGTGTCTGGACCTTAAGTGGTGTGACGTACAGAGCGCAATACACGACTGACCGGTCACTTGTAACCTCGAAACCTGTAGACACAACGCGTATTAATATTCTACAGTTGTCTGTGATTTAAAGTGTGAAAGAAAACTGTGTAGGGCAAACTGATAAAACGTGTCAGTTGAATACGAGCAACAAGACAACGACAGCGATAACCTTAAAGTCCCATAT